AAATTGTGCAGATCCCGTCTACCTTATGAACCCGACAACCAGAACATTTTAGTACCCATAGAGAAAGAGATTTCCAAATGAATATTCCCAATGCATCTAACTTCCATACTCCCAAATTGCTGGATGAAGACTCGCGATTCCAGCAATTCGAATCAAACCTGCCCGTTAGTGAGGTCGCTAAGTTTTGATAAGCTTCAAAGAAAGCTAGGACCCTCAGAATGATCTTCCCAAAATCTGCATCTATGAATATAGCCCAAAGCTACGCCTAATCGCACAAGTAGGGCTAGGATATATAATACAAGTGACCACACGACTTCAACACTTGACTACAAAGGAACGAGTGTAATAGCCCAAGGCCACTACTAACAGATATTGTCCTTTATGGGCTTCACCTCAAGGTTTTAAAATGCGTCTGCTAGGGAGAGGTTTCCACACCCTTATTAAGAATGATTCGTTCTCCTCCCCAACCAACATGGGATCTCACAATGAGTTTATGGCTTGCCTTTAACTGCTAAATTGACCGAAAGTTCAATATAAGTTCAGGTAAATGGTCATCCACCTTCATTATCTTAAAATCTAAGAAGGGAAAAGTGTTAAAACATTCAACGGCCAACAACATTTTGTAAAGATTAGAACAAATAAAGAACTATGAACACTTCGTACAATAACACTAAGGTGGTTGTTTTGTCTTTATTTTTCCCACAAGTAGGGTGAAGGGGATGAGGTGAGGAGGATGTTGGGTAGAGGAAAGCCCATCAATTTGAAAACCAAGGAGAAGAACGGAAATTCTATACAGATACGAGACATGTCCGGAGTTCCTTGCATTTAGGAAAAAGAAGAAATAAATATGAGCATGTAACAGACTCGCCGTACAAGAGTGCACAAGCTTCAAATGCATCTACCGTCTTAATGATTTAACAATAGATAGCAACTATGACAAGTCACCGCTAGCAGATATTGTCCTCTTTTGGACTTTCCCTTTCGGGTTTCCCCTCAAGGTTTTTAAAATATGTGTGTTAGGGAGAGATTTCCACACTCTTATAAAGAATATTTCATTTTCCTCTACAACCGATATGGGATCTAACAATCCACCTCCTTTCAGGGTCTAGCGATTCGATCCCTTCTCCACTCTATGTGGAACCCCCCAATCGACCCCCCCCTTTAGGGTCCAGTGTCCTTGCTAGCACACCGCCTAGTGTCCACCCCCCTTTCGGGCTCAGCCTCCTCAATCTAGCACATCACCTAGTGTCTGGCTCTGATACCATTTGTAACAGCCCAAGTCCACCGCTAGCAGATATAACACTCTTTAGCTTTTCCCTTTCGAGCTTCCGCTCAAGGTTTTTAAAACGTATGTGTTAGAGAGAGGTTTCCACACCCTTATAAAGAATGTTTCGTTCTCCTCCCCAACCGATGTGGGATCTCACAATCTTAGACAAAATCTTGTTTAATCAAAAAGACATCACGCTTATCATAAGGTTCCGAAGAATAGAGAAGGTCATACTACATCGAATAAAATGGGAAGAACGTATACCTGCACCAGGATGAAAGGTAAAGACACGCCACCACTGGGTGCATTCTCAGAACTGAATAACTGTTCGTTTCGCTGAATTAGGTTCTGAAGGCCTACATACTGATAGCCAGACACCATTAGCTGCATTCTTATCACTTAAATGCAGTAAATAAGCCAAGTACAAAAAAGGTACATAAAATAATGGCACTGCCATATCAATAACTTTATTTTTGGATTTAAGATAACTCAATTAGATCAACTGCAAAAGTATTGAAGAAGTAGTCTAGATGGCTACCCAGTTGACACAGGGATAAGAGAAAAGGTTTCGAATCAGCCAAGTAAAAAGGATGGAATTGTCTTAGAACTCGCCCGTATCATACACATAATCCGAAGACTGTAAGATGATAACACCACGCTAATCATGAGAAACAAACAGCAAAAATATAATGATAGCTATTCGTACCTGCTCCTCCAGCTCTTGCAAGTACGCCGCTTTCTTTTCAATCCTATTTCTAAGTCCAAGACGCTCTGCCTGCATCGTTCAATAACAAGGTAAATTAAATGCTTGATGCATGATAGAAGAAATGCAGACTGCAGTGAAACCTTTAGTTCTTCGATATCGTTCAGACTTGTACGTGGAAGACCCTTCCATTGTATCTCTTTTTTATCTTTTGATATGATATCCATTGCCATGAGAACATTCAGTGCGTCATACACCCTTCGCCTGATGTTTTTTTCATCGTACTGTTGCTGTCATTAACAGAGTAAAAGACATAATGACACCTATCCTCTCGCATAACAAAACTAGCAAAAATATGAAGCATTTGAAACCTGATCCGGTGTCGCAAGACTGTTGCCAGGATCAGAAAACTCTGCAACGAGTTCGTCTGCTACCTGAGATCACAAGACTGAAAAGTGAAACCAAACATTTTGATGCACCAGTGCATCATAGGGTATATATGTAACAGCCCAAGCTGGACCGCTAGCAGATATTGTTCTCTTTGGACTTTCCCTTTCGGGATTCCCCTCAAGGTTTTAAAACGCATCCACTAGGGAAAGGCTTCCACATCCTTATAAAGAATGCTTCGTTTCCCTCTCCAACCATTTGTTGGATCTCACATCATAATTAAGGAAGTTCCCATTACGTTCTCTTACAAATCAACGATGCTAAGAAATAACCTACCTCGTTGTAGGTCGTTCTTCCCTTACTCTCCACTTTCTCACAAACTGCAAGCAATGGAAACAAGTAAAACAATCAAAGAATAAGAGCAAATCTATTATGCATCACGATCCACTGGTTCAATGCACGCCCTGCCACTGGTGGAGTCGAATCGGACGCAATGAAGGAAGAAATAACGAAAATGGGTGAAGTCAAACACCTTTCATGCTAAATTGGCGAAGCCCTCTTCCACTCTTGTCCCCTCCAACAGCACGCTGGCCCCTCTTTTTCTTCACGTTACTATCTCAAAACAACATCCAATTCAACAGATCAAATCAAACCCACAGTTCAATTCGAACAACCAAAGCTAAAACCACAAATTCACAGTCTCTTAATCATCAGGACTCAATCAAACATCACTCAACGTTGTTCAAACACCCAACCAAGGCAACATTTGAGCTAAATCACAACAGAAAATAAGAAAATAAACTCACGCAGTAGGTGGTTGCGAGCCCGCCTCATCGCCATGGATGTCGAGGTTGTTCAATCGAAGAAAAGTGTTGTCGCTAGCAGGCGTCGCCATGGTTTGCTCGCTTCGGTTAGAAGGAGAACCGACACTGCCACTCATGGAAACGGACTGACCTGAAATTGTGGTGGCAGCAGGGCCAGGGCCGCCTGGGAGGTCGTCGTCGTCGTCGTCATGGCAGGGTTGCTGGGTTCGTGTGCCCATGAGCCCTGGAAGTCCAAGCTGGATGAAGAAGGAGTGAATTGGGGCAAAAGTAGGTGTGAGGAGGAGGAGGAGGAGGAGGGGACCAGAAGAGGGTTTGGAGGAAGGAGGGAAAGAGGGAGAGAGAGGGTTTTCTTAGGATCAACTCTCTTTGAACTCTTCCAATGCTAAAACAACTACAAGTTTGTGTCTTTTTTTGTGCAACTTCCACCTTTTAAGCCAACAAAAAAAACACACACACACACACCCAAAAAAAAATGGTTTTTGTAATAAATAAATAAAATTTTAGAATATATGTTTGATCTCCAATTTACTACGTTGGGTCGTAATTGATTTTGTTAACTCGATCCGCTCTTTTTTAATAATACTTTTTTATTTTATAAAGGTAAATGAGCTTTTCATCTACGTAATTAAATTGTTTGTTATTTCCTTAAAATCCATCCATGGTAGTAAATGAATAAAATACAAAATTAATCTTTCGATGTTCTATTTATTACTTATATTATTGATATTGTCCGCTTTTTTTGTTCGGTAACGTTTAGGGTGAGAATAGTTTAACGTTTAGGATCGAATTCGTTCATTGGTATAATGCATGTGAGGGTTGAAAATGGAATGATAAAGATCCATAGTTTGAGTTAAGAGCAAGTAAACAAGATGGCAGATCAAGATCCATAGTTTGTATGACATAAATATTTGTATTTTTATCGAATATATCTAAAAGCGAATTTACCATGGCAGATCAATCTCGTTGTAAACTTCCAACCTTTCAAAAAAAAATAAAAAAAAATGCATAAAGAGTGTCTTAAAATCAAGTTGATAATTTTCAAGAACAAGAACTTTTTTTTTTTTTTTTCATGCATTTGTTGTCCATGAAAGCTGAATTTAGTTTTATTTTTGTCATCGAGCTTTCAGAACTAGCATTCTTGGTCTTTTAAGATTCTCATTTAATTTTTGTTCGATTATTAAAGTTTCAAAGTGACATCATTGATTTATAAAGTTCGAACATGACTTAAACTCGAAAGACGAAAAAGAAACTAAATTCAAACATATTGTTTTTAAAATTAACTAAGAGAGTAAATAATAACTTAGTTCAAAGCATAGTTTTGTTAAGAATTACGACTCTTACCAATACCCATGATATTCCACTAAATTAACTAATGTGGGACTCATTCCCAATAATCTTCAACAATACTCTCATCGGACAAATTACACTATAAGCCTTTGTTCGACACTTTAGTCACTTTTTGACTACACCTTTGAGGATTTTATTGTCATTGTTAAATTTAGGACACAACTCTGATAACATGTTAGGAATCACGACTCTCCACAATGATATGATATTGTCCACTTTGAGCATAAGTTCTCGTGGTTTTGTTTTGGGTTTCCCCAAAAGGCCTCATACCAATGGAGATAGTACTCCTTACTTATAAACCCATGATCTTCCACTAAATTAATCAACATGTAACTCACTCCTAATAATCCTCAATAAGTTTACCAAAAAATGCGGGTGACCATAATAATGCATCAAGAGTGTGTGTATACATATATTTATTTATTTATAAACAGAGCACAAAAGGGTTAAATCTTAATGGACAGCAGCAGAATGGTATCAAATTTTTGATCGAGCCACAGTCCTGTCTAATTATTAAGTTGAAAATATAAACATTTTAGAAGGTATTAGGTCCAAAAAGCATCAATGAAATTTGTTTTACAAGGTTAACACTTTCAGTTTGAGATAGTCTATGGAATTGCTTTAAATTCGCAGACTTGAGAGTTTAAAGGCACTTAGCTTCAATTTCCTCGAGGGTCAGTCCCTTTGTCTCCGGTACAATGAAGAATATAAAGACCAGAGACAAAATAGCTATCACGCCAAATATTAAAAATAGGATTCCAGCTCCAAGCAATTCCTGCATTCAAAAGCGAATTATTTTACATCAACTATCAAAGATCTTATTCATTGTCATCAATAAACAGGTCCGAGATAAAACAATGTTGATGCAAATCTGTACTTAAATATATGGACGATGTATTAGAGAAGATAAGAGATGTAATAGTCCAAGCCCACCGCCAGCAAATATTGTTCACTTTGACCCGTTACGTATCACCATTAGCCTCATGGTTTTAAAATACGTCTACTAGGGTGAGGTTTCCACACCTTTATAAAAAATGTTTCGTTCCCCTCTTCAACCAATGTGATCTCACAATCCACCCCCTTCGAGGCCAGTATCCTCGCTGGCACTTGTTTCCTTCTCTAACCGACGTAGGATCTCATAAGAGGGAAAAAAAAAAAACTAAAGGCCAGGTAGAGAGAACTCTGCCCAAAAAGCCTACGTAAAATCTTCCAATAGTTAACAATCACGAGGAGGCAAAGGTTGCGGAAGAAATTTTGATGGTTTGAACTGCAACAAAGAGATTGTAAACATTATTATTCTTTCAAGCAAATGCCTTTTTTTTTCAAGTCACACAACCATATGACCCTACCATCAATTTGTTAAAATTCAATGGCCTTCCAGCTTCATCATGGGATTGAACCTCACAATTCTTTAATTTTCTTCACTTGTTCCAATGACACTTGTCATTGATGAACATATACAGTAGTAATTATTGGATAAACTTCAACTCACAAGTATTCATCAAATCAGCATTTGGCCTCTTGGTGGAGTTCAAATCACACAGACTTCTATTGTAATTATAGTCTTTCCATAATTATTGGGAAATAGGAGAGCCTTTTTGTGATTGTGATAGTTTTGTTTTTGGGAGGGAGCACCCTCAGCTCCCGGCCATTAGCCTGTTCTTCTTTGTTTGTTTTTTTTTTAGAATACAATCTTCTATACGTTTACTAAATAAGAAACAAAAATTATTCATCAAATGTAAAATGGTAATCGAGCATTATATACACCTTTATCAAATTTTGTTTGCTCAACGCAAAGATTAATAATATCATGCAATGTCAATTTCATAAACGTAAGATAATGTAAATTTTTAGGATTCAATATATTGACGCACCTTTAATGGAGAAAAGGCAAATGCAACGAGAGCATTTGCTCCAAAATTCACAAGCACTGCTATACTGAGCCCCCGACCTCTCAGTCGCAAAGGGAAAACCTCTGAAATCATTAACCAACCAATGGGACCAAAAGATAGCTGCAAAACAAATTTCACTTATCCACAGCGCATCAAACATAAGAAAACGGAAGGAAAATGGTAGATGCCTGGTAGAAACCAACATACAGCAGGAGCATAACTACAGCATATTGTCAAGCCATATACATGAGAAAACAAAAGGAAATAAAAAATACCTGGTAACTACCAACATATGACAAGAGCGCGACTACAGCAACAGCAGGCACATTACCCAAGAAAAGGTAATACGATCCCAGAAGAAACAAAGAAACCACCTGTTGCATGAATGAAGTGTAGGACAGGTTAATACACTTTTGAAGTCAGATGCTCTTTTTTGAAAAGAAAAAAAAAAGAAAAAAAAAAAAGAGCAATCTAATATATTTTTTTTATTTTAAAGCAGTTGATATGCCATGAGAGTAGTATTGAGATCGGAAACACACAGGGCGAGAAGAACACAAAACAGAACTAAAATGGTATAAGTAGTTCGCGTACAGGGTGATGATGCCCCATACATCTTGTGTTCAAGAGTTCGAAAGAAAAGAAATACAAGAATTTTACAAAATGGACTTACAATCCCAGATACACCTCCAAGGAGTAAAGGCCTCCTCCCAAGTCTATCAACGGCAAGAACAGCTGCTCCAGTCATAAAAAGCTGCAGCATAAGGAAATTTAGTTCAAAACTTCATGAAATGGTTAGGTGGAAATGTGGACTCCAGCAATAGGTTGATGAAATTTAGAGGGAACGGAAACATTTGTTCAACTCAGCACTACATCTAAATTAGACAAACACATGCATAGCATTAGAATTGCAAGCTAATTCTCATTTCAAAGAACTTGCACGAGTTTTCTTTTAAGACAGATCTATGGGGATGTGTAAACAAATACCTTCAATAAACCAAGTAAAATTGACACCCGCGTTGCATCTGAAGCTGCTGAGAATCCTGCACTCTATCGAATTATGTGACGTTTTGTGTTAGCATAAAAGAGTAAAACAAAAACAACTGTAAGTTTCAGATAATATTTGCGTCTTAGTACCATTGATGGTCTAGTTTTTTGAAACCTTTCTTCTCTAATGGAGGAAATCTATTTCCCTCTTATAAGATTCACTTCATACACTTATTTCTTTTACATATAAATAATTAAATATATATATTTTTTAAAAAAGTAAGAAAAACAGGCAGACAGCTTTACTAAGTACAGCGTCAGAACTTGCTCGTTAAATAGAGGTACCTGAAAGATTGAGGGAGCATAATATAGCACACTTGGTTGACCAGTTATCTGCCAATAGTTGATGCCAATCCAAAATATAAGCAAACGATAGACAAATGATATGCTTGAAAACGTAGGTCAAATATATTCAATACCTGTTGAAATAATACTAATCCTGCACCAATTATTAGGGCCTTCAAGCACTTCCCCTGAAATATTTCCCCTATCGTTGCCGTCTCTGATTCACCAAGAAAAGAGAGCTCATCCAAAATTTCATCCACTTCTTCAGAAGCTTTATCGCCAATAACTGCACCCCGTAGCCGGTACAAGCAGCTTATAGCACTCTCTTTCAATTCCTGCATATTTCCTTTTCCCTGTATAGCACATAAAAGTAGCCACCTGGGAGATGACGGTAGCCACCACATTCCCACTCCCATGACCAACGCAATTGGGGTGTTGGCTGCATATATGTAGCGCCAACCAGCAACCACTTCAACTAAAAGACTACCAATGCTGTAACCCACCTGCAGAGTATTCCATGCATGCTTTAAAGTATCAGTAGACAAGATAGAGAAGGGGGGAAATCCAATACAGATATTTTGACCTTCTGTGAGGCCCCCGATAGCCAGGAGTTACGTTAGGAAGGGTAGAATAGAGATGGGCCAGTCAGTTAAGGGGCTCTTTTCTGTTAGAATGATAGTTGGTTTGTTAGTTTTGTTAGCGGGCCTGGTGTTTTCTATTTATTTGGGCAAAAGGGGTCTCTGTATGGGCGTGTGATAATTTTGTGGTAAACTTTGGTAAGGAAGAGTGTAGTCCTCTCAAATCAACCGACAATCGTTGTATGCACTTTCGGTTTCTCATATTTTGAAATAGACTTGCTTCCTAAGAAAGATAGCTTACACCTTCATTTGATTCATTTGATGGATTCGCAAGATTAAAAAAAAAAAAAAAAAAAAAAAAAAAAAAAAAAAAAAAAAAAAAAAAAAAAAAAAA